ACTTCCTCTCCTCTGCTCAGGTATATGATCGAGCCGGCTGTAATGTTCTCCCAAGATATGAGTTCCAAACCTATCACACGCGCGCACCGTGTCACATGGTCGGACGAGAGTGGCCTGACCAGCCGCGGGGTGCCCACTCCAAGATCCTCGCTCGTTGTCGGCAGCAGCTTTCCTTCTCACGACCGCTCGGCACAAGCGCTTATTGACCTGTTGGTGACCAGTAATCGATCGGGAAATGCAGCACAATATGCCCGATTCAGTCGAGCATGTATCTTCGAGATCAATAGGGTCGCTTGATTTCTCTGCGATCGATGCGAACACGTACGGGTTGCTTTGAACCGTGGAATTATGAAAGAACATCACTTTAGTGTCATTCATATAACGACGATAATCCTCTATCGCATCCTTGACCATCGTCAGACTGAGCACGAATACCAGCGGCGCGATGGTGGCCCACTCCGAAGTAGGGCTCAAATCGTAAGGAAGCATCTGGCAGATACCTGCAGAGACCAGGCCCTCAAGCATCGAGAGAGAACTCTTCAATTCCATGACGATGGTAAACTGTCATTGTTGTCGTGCTCAGAATCCCGTGTGCGTTGAGCATCACACTCTTACCAATGAGTAAGAACCATAAGTTGGCAACGCGGTGGAGCTGCTCCCATAAGTTCCGTGGGATAAAAGTTAGCAGACGGTATTTCGTCGACGGGATCTGGCAGAGATAGGAGTCTCCAGGCGTATGTGGTATCACCATACGGTGAGTGCTGCAGATATGCTGCTAGTATACCATGTCAATATACATCACTAGCAAGCGAATAGCGAATAGGAGCGAAGAAACTCGTAATAGTCAGCGTCTGAAGATTAGCGTATAACGAAGTTAATGCTACGAAATCCAGTCAACTTAGATGGAGAGAATTAATGGTGACACCTCAAGACCGCTTAGCTGTGAGGAACGATAACTCACTCTATTGTGGAGTTCGGTCCTGTAGTCACGAGAGATCATTGGGCACAGACTCAGCCTACACAGGAGACGATCGGAGCTGCCAGACAGACGCATTGAGTACTCATCGGCCACCGTCACGTCGGAACCACGTGCCCTGAGCTCAGCCAAGGCTCTGTTATTTCGGGAGTGCAAACTTGCAGGCTTGTCGGAGGTATACGGTCCAAATGTCAGTTCTATGGTGTCCGCCTCGGTCGAGTTGCCAGGACTCGGGTTGCGACACCCAGGGGTTGAGTCGGCTCGACCAAATTCGAAAGGACTGATCATCGAATTTGGCGAGCTTCTGAGACACAGATGATCCATCATGAGGATAGAGAGTACTCACTCTCCCCCTAAGATATTCGACAGCATGCCGCGAACAAAGAACGGAGCCCTGATATTCCCTGGGACAGGCAGTTTGCTTGGAGAATGGGCCAAACTTCTGCAGTCGGTGGAACCTAAAACTCATGAACCCACAATTCCACCATAAGAATAGAGCATTGCCTGGGGGAGTAGTGCTTCCTTCATTGCGATCTGGTTGGTCGACGTTGAGCTCGGACACACGTGAGGACGCGGGCGAGCTGACAGCTATCCGAGGTATGCTATGAGGCAATAAAATTTCATCTTCAGGGTTTGATTGGTATTCAGAAGCTGGATTCGCCATCACAACAACTGCTTACACTCAAGTTCAGTGGAGTTTCACCTGTTTTACGCGTTAAAACTGTTTTACGCGAAGTGTTTTACGCGAAAAACGCGAAATGTTGTGTTGAGATAACACTTCGCGTCATAACGCACGCGTGAAACGCAATATCGCGAAAAACTCTAACGCGATAACGCGTCATAACGTGTTTACCGCGTTACGCGAAGTGTTAAACGCGTAAAACACAACACAACGCGTGAATCACTTTTCATCACGAGACTTAACTGCACGAACACAACCAACAAAAAAGAGAATACGGAAAATCACTCGTCACATACCATTCCTGATCGATCTACGGGGCCCCATCTCATTTCCTCTTTTTTCTGGGTGGAGCTTGGGACTTAGCCTTGGGCTTTTCCTTGGGCTTGGCCTTCTTCCGGCATGCTCTTTCTTCTTTCAGAAGAGCTTTCTGATCCTCCAAGCTAGGCACAGGGTCAACCTCCTCGTCCTCCTCGTCAGACTCTGACCCAGCTTGAGATTCAACTTGTGCACCACCGTCCAGGTTCACATCATCCACGGTTACACCACTGGCAGTACGAGACTGCTCCACCATAGTTATGAATGCGCTCTTGCACAGAGCTGGAAATAAGCCCCCGAGGATGGTTTGCGCTTGTAGAATTTTAATTAACTTCGATTTCCTTTATCATCAGCAAACTGGGATTGGGCCTGCCGCTTCGTTTATATCGTTTATATTTCTTGTTGTGCTGTTAATTGCGTTTCGCATGAGCTCCAATCTGCCCCGAGTGGACAGCTCGTGAACAAAGATCGCTCCCACACGGTAAGAATAGCGCGTTGGTAGCCGGGAAAGATCCTTAGCTAGTCGTTCAGAGGCCGAAAGCAGGTAGGCGAAGTATACTATCGACGTACACGATGACGGAGGCTCCATCATGAATGTCAACTATTTGTTATACACTTTAGTAGAGTGATTCTACATATGCAAACCAGATGAAGGAAGTCACGTCTTATGGTTCGTTCCTATTATAGGCATTTGAAACGGAGCGATAAGCGCCTGGCTGACTCCACAAGGCTTGAGAATTCCTTAGGATTCCTATTCGTGTATCCGCAGCGCTCAGGACGTGAGCCAATCTCTTACCGTAGGGCCTTATCAGAATTTCTCTAGCCATAATAAAATGTAATTCGCTTGGTTAAGCGAGTGTTGAAGATGATTTGGAGCGCTGCTCTCAATGATCTCAAACAGAGCTCTTGAGGCCGCTCCCGGAGCGGACTGAAACAGGAGTAAGAGAAGTCTTGGTAATAGACTAGCATGTCTGTACGGCCAGGATCGCGCACGCTCGCTTCGTGTAAAGGGGAATGAAGCAATCTGAACGGGTTTAGTAGTATAGACGTTCAACAGTGGACTATTCGTAAGCACCACATGCATGCGAGTGCAGCCAGTACACTGCCAGCGCTGAGCCGCACTGGTAGTGTGTCTGTCTCGATCACACCTGACGTCTAATATTGCAAGAATGCTCGGCACCTCAGCTGTCAGACTCAGGCGTGGCTAGGAAAAGCCGAGACATACGGGGTGTTCAGTAAACTGATCTGAAACTCTGGAATCCTGAAATCGATCCTGAGTCAGGATCGATCCCAGGACTGATCTCGTCAAGCTTTACTGAACCTCCCGATTGTCACTTCAGCCAGCCGTGACTGTCTGGCTCACGAGACGGGGCCACAGACTGTTCCAACACTCCCGACCGACTGTCTCTCGCTGGCCACGACAAGGTATGTGGCTTATACGGGATATTGGTGAATCGATGAAAGTAACGGCAAAATTGTCTGCTCGTTAATGTGATTGGCTCGCTCGCCCAACATGGATGCCAGGAACACAGCTATTTGAAATTGGGTTACAGTGGGCCCGTTTCACAAGGATACTTAATTTAAGGCGCCTCAAATTTAGGAGCAACTCGAGGAGTTACTAAAGGTATACTTAAGAAGTACTCAACTCTTTCACAACGTTTAGAAGCAACTTAAGGAGCTCTTCAACGTACTTCACCTTCTTCTTTTTACTTGCTTTTTACTTCTTCACTACTTCTCTTTTTCTCTTGCGTACTTGAGTATCTACTTAACCATGGTAACAGGTATCGAACTGGTCATACTGCCAGCACCGACATTTAGTCGTGAACCGCACTAAGAGTCTCCACCATTGCCTGTGCCAACGTTGCGATCCTCTTTGCGGGCTGTACCTGCCGATATTCACCGCGGCGAAGGAGCCAGTAGAATCTGTAGGGAAAAGTTGCCGCCAGACTTTTGTATGGTGCTAGATCCAGGAAGGTCGATCGGTCACTGAGCGCCAGTGAAGCTGCGTCACTGTGGGAGAGCCGGAAGTCTCCTGGAAGTCTTTCAACGAGGCGCCCTCAATGAGGCCGGATGTAGTCGTCACTGCATGCGGAGTTCAACATAGCCAAGCCACGTGGATGGTCAGAGCAAGGAACATAATGATATCACATGAGCACGTTCCAACAGTTTGGCCAGACTATCCTTGGCGGCTTGAAATTTAAAGCAGCAGTATAAGTAGGCACACCTAATCGACGTCCTCTTTCGGTTCAGTACTCACAGCATACGCATCCCCAATAGTATGTACCGGTGAGGCCACCTCTTAGGATCAGTTAGGATTGGTGTACGGCCAACCCTGCAAGGTAATTTGCGTTGGGGAGTGGCATATTTATTGTACAGAGTTCGAGCCACGGGAGTGAGGGCGATTCGAAGAGCTCCTTTTTTACACTTTGTGAGAATTTGATGCCAATACAGCAGCAGCAGTATTGGTCTAATACCATGTTACTGTGGTAATACTCCAAATGGATGCTTGAAAATTCCCTAACACTATGAGGTAATTTCAAGCATCGGTACATAAGTCGTCTTCAACGTTCTGGCGATGGAGTACTGTCCTCGATGTTATTCGCCGCCTGAATGCGATGCGCGTCACTCTCCCACCAACAAGCAAGAACCATCAGTTCACAACGCAGCGGAACTGTTCCCATGAGTTCCGTGGAACGAACGTTAGCACATGGTAGTTCGTCGACGGGATCTAGCGGGAAAGGCAATACGAACGATAGCATGACATTCTAGCATACGTCGAGAAAAAAGTACTCTCGACAAATCGCTATAGGATCCGCGTTAACGACTATCGGATGGCCACATTAAACAGAGAGCTCTATTTCAAACTCGTTGTCAGGAATTAGCTCTTCAACTGGTGAACATTACGCATGCACTACACAGATATAGAGGAGACTGAGAGCATTTCAAGCATTTGCAGTCTCCTCGTGAATAACAGCGCTTGTCTATTTCAATCAACGTCCCATCGGCCAGTGATAAAACCGCCCATAGTTTGTTCCCCCAACACTGAGAACGCGACATTTAGGAGCATTTCAAGCCATCATCAGCACCCACCCAACTTGTTAAAAGACAAGCGAGTGGGCTCTGACTCTGCCGTTGTATAGGCATTGTAGTAATGATAACCCATCACCGTAGTGGTAGTAGCAGGCAACAAAGTTCCCGGACGACAAGATTTAAGCTCTGAAGCTCTTCTTGATGGCGCTGTACTTCTTGTTGGCAAGAGGGGCAAGGTCAGGGCGAGTGAGGGCCAACTGAGCCTTGATGCTCTTCTGGGCCTTCTTGGTGTCTAAACACGAGAAATGATGCTACACTCTATCACTGTACTATTACTCTTGGAGACACCAGTGGTGGTGTAACGGTGGCAAGGCTTCTTGGTCTTCTTGCTGGTAGTGAGGACGATAGTCTGCTTGTTGCCAGTGGTCTGGATGTCCAAGCCACCAACACGGACGTTGGCGATACCCGAGTAACTGAAAGAGGATAGAATGCTACGATATTATTACTCCAAAGCGGTCTTATTACCCAGCACGGTTGAGGTTGGTCATGTTACCAGGCTCAGTGGTGAAAGCGGCGGTGTTGGCACGCTTCTGAATGAAGCAGTTGTTGTTACGCACACACTGCCAGAGGAGTTGCTGAGAGGCCACCATTGTACTGCTTGTTACGGTGATAAACACTACTACTGAATACGACTTCCAACCGTCCAATAGTAAATTCGCAAAACGCAGCTATACAGCGCAACTCGACAACTCTGCTATTTGAGAACACGGAAATTTCCAAAAACCCCATGAACCGCCAACGATGGCGCATTCCTTACAGATTCCACTCCTACAACCAACGTGATCCACAGGCTAACGGCAACGTACCTAGGTTAAAGAGCCAAAAATTCGCCTAGACGCAGCAGCTACTAACAGATCGATTACTTGGGCGAGCGAGATCCTTCCTACTACGCATGATTATGACTGTTATTTCAAGCAAGTTTCTAGAACTCCCTTTCCGGCGCAGACCGGGGGGATGAGTTAGACGAAGTGGAAGATAAACGAGTGGTTGTATTTGAGGTCTATCAGCCAGGGAACTCCTCTTCCGCGGTTAGGCACCACGGTGGTTCTCGAAAGTGTATGCGCTCTAGAGACGTGAGTCTACTTTTGTTGGCAACAAGTCTGCTGAAGTCGGCGATGAGAGGAAATTAACAGGGGAGTGATCAATAGATTGTTCCAATGGGTTCAGGTCATGAAGTTTCACGACTGCGGTTTTGGTGAAAAAGTTCTACGGAATGTGATTCGATGAAACGGCTGAGGTTAGTCGCGAGCATATCTTGGTATCGCGCCCGCCCCTCCCGGAGTAGTCTTCGGTAAAACATTTCGATTTAAGCTCTTCTCACGTGGTTAAGTTACATCGTGTAGTGTGACCGTCAACAGTTCACTTCTTATGTTGACTTTTCATTTCTCCTTGTGATACTGTTATCATTCAGCTTTTCGCTCTTTACCCATATGAGCCATGAGAACGTACAGCCTCAAGTCATTGCTGAGCTCATGCGACAACTCCATCGACAGCAGCCCGCTAACTTCCTCAACTCGTGCGGTCCTCCGGAAACCTCAGCCACCGCTCAAGAGCATGGTATGCTCTGCTGCATCTCCATCGCTGTCATTGTCATCATGTCGTCAGGCATTCTAGATGGGGTGCTTCCGAGCTGGCTGAAGGACAGAAGAGTAACTCTACCCAATGCACTGGATCCGACCGAGATCCATGCTGTCGTTCGTGGCTCACAAGTGTCACCATATTCTCGCGGTTTCTTCTCCCTAAAGTAAGCGCTTGTCGGTTATTGTGTCGCAGCCTTCTTCCTTAGACTCCTCATTGAAGCCGAGTTCCCGAGGCTGCCTCCTCGAGTGGTGTTCAGTACTAGAGTATTTCATCCTAATATTGATGAAGCTACAGGAGATGTGAGCTCCCTTTCTCTCGGCTCGGACGATGTGATCATTGATCTGTTGGTGTAGGTTTGTAAGCTGGCTTTGGGCCGAATGTGGTCCGGCGAGAATTGGAGCCTCCAACAGTTTCTGGAGGATATTGTCGATCTGATGGAGCGGCCGATTTTGGACAAGCCGCTCAACATGACCGCGGTAGGCGCAGCTGGTCCTCGTGACCGTTCTGAACTGCATTACGACGTCAGGCCAGACTGTTCTCTGCTGACCGTGACGGGTATGATCGTCGTGCTCGGTTATGCACTGTATTGCATGCTCTGCCCCGCTCGTTGACTCCGGTCAAACGTCGACGTACCTCCTCGAGCACCAGTTCTGAGTATTGCGAGTTTCACGACTTAGTTCAGTTTGATGACGACGCTTATTCTAGAGTAAGTGTAGTTTTGGCGATTTGTGATGTAGCACTTCGTTTATCAGGACGTTAACGATGAAGGACTAGTCTCGATGGCTGCCATTGCAGGAATGGGGTTATCTATTGACTCCATTGAAGCGACTGAAGAAGATGCGTTTTCCGATTCGAATAGTCCTTCCACGCCGTGCGCTATGAGTGTCGATGGTGACTCTGAGCGGAACGACTACGTCCCTTGTCAGAGGGTTCCGTTGGAGATCGATGTTGACGATGACAGTAGCAGTGATGATAGTGAATGTGAACAGCCAGTGGCCAGTGATGGTATGGTGACTCCACAGAAGAGCTATCCCCGGTACTCTCCTTCATCTGAGCTCCGCAGCGCTCAGAGGCTTGCAAGTACTCCTAAGGGTGGATTATTCGGCAGAGGTAAGCTCCTCGTTTGAACGGCTTGTGATTGTTGTTCTGTAGATGCTTCTCCGCTCTGTGAGTCTGCACGCGTACGCAGTACTCGTCACTGTACGACCCCTCGAAGCCCCTTCCTTGGTACGCCAGTCCGAGCGAAGCCTGACGTTAAGTCAATCAGGAGGTTATAGCTGGTACTTGAGCTCAACTGAGTACTGAACATGATTTGATCGTACTGTTGTTAATATATCTAGCCCTTGCGGGTTGTATAATTGGCTGCTGTTGTTAGCCGTTGGCTCAACATCATCGAGTATGTGACACCATTAGTGTGAACATGCTCAGGTGGTTGAGTAGTACAGTTCTGCCATGGTCATGAAGAGGAGGCGTGAGTCTTGTGTTCTTGTCAATCTGGATGACTGGGTGCGGTGAAAAAGATCTTATTTTAATCGGTGATGGTGGACGAACGGGATGCCCTTGCGAGTTTGGACCGCTACTTGTGTTTAAGGCGGACCGTAACTGCCTCTGGAAGTGATTGCCTGGTAAGCAGTGGTGAATCCTGTCGACAGTTTTACATTACATCGGGTAATAGCTCAATACGCTCACTAACATGGACTTGTTATCCTCAAGGCTGTGGGAGTGATCATTCTAGTCACAAGCTATGGAGATCGGTATGGTGTAGATATATAGTATGCTAGTCGATTCGTCGTCCCTTCATGTGGCCGCATCGTTGATTGCTGTGATGTCTGAGGTGGTACCATTGAGCTCAGGTCATGGTCTGTGGCCCCGATGGGTCACTCAACACCGGCAGCATGCAGTGTGTGCTGTATCTGTTGTATGGCACATGTAGCATGAATAGGAAGGTTGTTGAGAATGATCCCGTCCCTTGCTTGGTCAGCCGGGACCGTCCTTGACGGGTCTGAGTTCTCCGAGAGAGCTGATGAGCTTGGCGAGCTCTTCATAGTGGTGTCCGGGAAGGAGGGAATGTGGAGTAGTATTGTAACTCACGTTGCTGGAACTCATTGGATGAGTTTGCTTTCCTAGGTACTATATTCTGCCCGGACACCATAGTGTCGAAAATTAGCAGTGTAACCCGCTTGTGGCCTTCGACATTGGTGAGAGTCGAATTTCGTAGAAGCATAGGGCAGGTTTCCCAAGTATGGAGAATAGGTTTTCTCGGCGGATATGGAAACAGATATCGATGACTACGACTTGAAGAAGACTGGTGCTTTCATACGTGCATTGTCGGGGAGGACAGACATAGGTCTTTGTCAAAGTTGTGGGTCTTCTGTTGAACTGTGGTGTATTTGTAATCGCAAGTATATTTTGTAATCAGTGTTCGGAGAGAAGCCAAATGCTAACGGGTTGAAGATGAGCTTAGAGAAATGGCCTCTGGTGAGTATAAAGTACTGGAACCGAGAATCGAACTCGGGACCTATCGCGTGTGAGGCGATCGTCATAACCAACTAGACCATTCCAGCGATGTGAATCGAAGAACCATGTGCAAGTTTATCGCCTCTACAAGTCCCTCATCAGTGAAGGCTTACGGTTATGAGGGCTTCGCGACGCCAGGATTCCTAACTCTCTCTCGTAACGTTTC